TCGCCATGTAGACAACTCACAATACACAAAACATAACTACCAGCCATGTAGACAACTCACAATACACAAAAGATAACTACCAGCCATGTAGACAACTCACAGTACACAAGATAACTACCAGCCATGTACACAACACACAGATAACTATATCGCCAAGTAGACAACTCACAGTACACAAAACATAAATATATCCGTCATGTAGACAACACACAATACACAAAAGATAACTATATCGCCATGTAGACAACTCACAGTACACAAAAGATAACTACCAGCCATGTAGACAACTCACAGTACACAAAAGATAAATACCAGCCATGTAGACAACTCACAGTACACAAAAGATAACTACCAGCCACGTAGACAACTCACAATACACAAAAGATAACTACCAGTCATGTAGACAACACACAGTACCCAAAAGATAACTACCAGCCATGTAGACAACTCACAGTACACAAAAGATAACTACCAGCCATGTAGACAACTCACAATACACAAAAGATAACTACCAGCCATGTGGACAACTCACAGTACACAAACGATAACTACCAGCCATGTAGACAACTCAAAGTGCACAAAAGATAAATATATCGCCATGTAGACAACTCACAGTACACAAGATAACTATATCCGCCATGTAGACAACTCACACTACACAAAAAATAAATATATCCGCCATGTAGACAACTCACAATACACAAAAGATAAATATATCCGCCATGTAGACAACTCACAGTACACAAAAGATAACTATATCCTCCATATAGACAACTCACAATACACACAAGATAAATATATCCGCCATGTAGACAACTCACAGTACACAAAAGATAACTACCAGCCATGTAGACAACTCACAATACACGAAAGATAAATATATCCGCCATGTAGACAACTCACAGTACACAAAAGATAACTATATCCTCCATATAGACAACTCACAGTGCACAAAAGATAACTACCAGCCATGTAGACAACACACAGTACACAAAAGATAAATACCAGCCATGTAGACAACTCACAGTACACAAAAGATAACTACCAGCCATGTAGACAACTCACAGTACACAAAAGATAACTACCAGCCATGTAGACAACTCACAGTACACAAAAGATAACTACCAGCCATGTAGACAACTCACAGTACGCAAAAGATAACTACCAGCCATGTAGACAACTCACAGTACACAAAAGATAACTATTACTTCCATCATGTTCAAGATTCTTTGTCAACCCCTAGGATATGACAGATAGCGCGTGCACCGGAAGTGAACCGGAACTACTTCTACACACGTCGTCTGCTGAATGTATGTGAACAAATACACATGACCAAAAACCATGTTTGAAATAGGAGACACTGTCAACATAGGATCTGAAGGTAGGAAGGACAAGATTATTAACACTTTTCGCCCTATAGGAACTTATATGATGCATGAAGTCTACATGACTGACACTGGCGAAATAGTTAGTGCCGCAAAGCATGAACAGTATTTTTAACTGTTTGTTTACAAATGATTATCACCGAAGCTAAGGCTCTCTGAGAAAAAGTATGATGGAAGAAAAATAACCATCCCTTACCTTGAGGGAAGATTTTATTAATCTGCCATGTAGACAACTGTCAGTGCACAGAGGATAATTTTACCCGTCATGTAGACAGCGTTTCGGATAAAATAGGATTGTTTGAAGCTCACATTATTGCACCTCTCAGCACAAATTTAGTGTTAGATCCAGTGTAGATAGCCTTTGATATATTAGCAGCATACAGCCGTTGCGTCTATAGCTGATCACTAGTGATATAAACGAGATTTTGGAGGAGGCTTTGAAGAATCGAAATTGGACGTAATAAATCTAACCAGATAAATAATAAGGATCTCTACTTCCATAAGTACCGATGTTGATGTCCATCGACCCCATTTATATGTTAATTCTACATTGTTTTAATGACTTACATAATTTGATGAACGATGAGTTATAAATTTATTTTATTTTCAATACCAATATTCCTTGAACATATTTTTACTTCTTTTTACTAAATAATGAATATATTTGTTTTTCTGACTGTCTGATCGTTTCATTGAACTTCGTAACATCGGTAATAGTACCTCATTAACCAACCCTAACGTGTCTACCAGGATCTTACGATTACTGACGTTTCTGACCGAATACATTTCTGTCCAATCATCCATTGTTTGAATTGTACTATTTACTGTTCCTTTTCTGATAAAATCGTGTAGGCAGAACGAACTTCGTGAATGGCACTGACCGGCACCTGTAAAACTACCGCCTTTCCATTATAGTGTGTTGAGAATATATACCATTGTAAACGTCTCTGACGATAAATATTTGTTTACCCATGTTTATTTTCACACGATACCTTACTACCGTTTATAAAAGAAGCAACAAAGTTGAAAGATCTTGAAAAATAAAGAAACAAAATAAAGTAAAAGTAGTATTTATACTATCTAGACTTTTCATTTTCAAGAAAGAAAAAAAAATTTTCGAGAAAAAAATAATGCGAAACAATGACACTATTTGACATTAAAAACCGTTGTGTTTGCGTGGTATTTTAATGCTGTATACGTAGTTTCTGTTATGGCACCCTACCTATACTGCATCGTGACATGAGTTGACCAGACAATGGTCATAATGTAAGTTTTTCACAATATATCGAGTTGCGATGAATAGCTCTCTTCAACACTCCTTACATTATTTTACGGGCTACTAGAAATACATGCTGAAGCTACATCGTGTTACCTTACATGTGATTTAAAAATCTGTTTCATCCCACAATTACGTAACCGTTCATATTTTCAAGTCAGTTTTCCGGACTAATGGACAGCTTAATGTTGAATACGATACCCCTTATTGTAATACAGACCAGGGTATGACAGCTACCGCTTTTATGCGTGTGAACTTTGCCATTAAATAAATACGAAAATCAATATGTTACTGGCCCATTGTTTGTGAAACATGTTCTCAATCGTTTCTCACTTCAGCCATATTTGATAATCTAAATTTATGATTTTTCAGATCTTAATTTGTAATGAAATGTGCTATTCGCTTGTGTGTCTTTTGTACAATCTTTTACCAAGAGTGCATAACCCTTCTACATGTCGTTGGGCGTATTTCTCTACTGAAATACCAATGACATAAGTAGCCCTTGTATTAAACAGATTCACTGTCATGACGTAATGGTGAAATGGTTTCAATCATTACCCATACCTTGTGACCCGTGACCGGTACATATTTTAGAGAATACGGCATGAAAGAAAGTTTATTTTTACATGCCATTGCAACTGTTTAACTGTATCAAATATTGTACAAAAACACGCAAGCGAATAACAAATTTAGAGTTAGATACAGTAGTCACACAATGAATTAAACTGCATAATACAGCTGTTTCTTTTTCTAAAGAATATTGACCAAAAGAAATGTTAGAATTTTGATATAAAGATGCATTAGACTTTACATTTTTTATTACATAAAACACCTATTATTTAAAATTTTCTCAATATTTACTCCCCTACAGTTGACTTGGTTTAACCCAGGCCTTTCTTCAGATGTCATTTTTTAAAACCTATCCCCATCACCAATTTCTAAGCTAGAATACATTATATTTATGTCATAGAAATCACAAAAGACTAGAAATTATGAAGCTCTCAATCATAACCAAATTAGTGCCTAACAGGGAAAGGAATTGTGATAATATTTAATATATCAACATATCCATGTATCTAGAAACATGATCCACAATTAATCTCTGTCGGAACTAGATTCGAGACAGAACTATGTCCAGTGGGGCTGAGAAGGGGGTCACCAAAACAATGAACACGTATCTAAGGTGGTCGTATACCACCAACACCAACACACCAGACGACTATTGTTCAGTGCTTGAAGGTGGTCAAGACACAATTCTTAATGTAAACACAATCCCTGTTCACACACTGCTTTGTTGACAAAAGCTTATCGCTATTGAATCTGGAAGTGACGACAAGGTAGGATACTAAAAGTAGAAAGCTCATGGCCAGATCCATTAGTGTTTTGTTTAAATTTTCTATTCCTTAATTGTTAAGGAAATATATTTCAAATTTTAAACGCAGTATATGAAACCTTATCAGATTGTCCTTGCAGCGCAAGGAAAAACTCTTGGACATAGTAAAAAATTATTTGAAAAACATTGTCATTTGAATGTCAGAAAACATTATTTTACTCAAAGAATAATTGATACTTGGAATAGTCTCCCTCAATGGGTAATTTCATCACTTAACGTTCATGATTTTGAAAAACACCTAGACGATTTCTGGAAAGATCTTGAACTGAAGTACGATCATACAGCGTCTTATATCTAGTCTAATATTATGTTTATATTAATAATACATTGTATTGATGTGAATACAGAGGCAGAAATGCCTGCGTTCACTGTTATCCTATTAAATTAAATCCTATTAAAAAGTCATGACGTAATTATTTTGTACAGCGGTACCTAGTTGGAAAAGTATTAGAAATGGAACTATGATCGTCTTTGTAACAATGGCAACTTGTCACATAATAAATAATAAATAATAATATTTATATAAATAAATAATCATCAAAATGAAAAAGCTATTAATTACAGTCTTTGTTTTATTTTGGCAAAGTTCCGGTGTTGTTTTCATAGCTTAGCTCCTAGACAATGCAACAATACAAAACTGATATAGATTTCATATTGGTGCATTGACGAAGGGACTAACTGAAAAGACTAGCAGAACATTAATATGAGCGATATATACTAATATTCAGGGTAATATCTAGATCACACTTCCGTCAAAACACAGATATGGCAGTGTGTACTTGTACTTTACCTTAAAAAACTAACTATAAAAATCGATAATTAACCTAATACATTTGATAATTATCACTTATTTGAGCACCAGCTGCAATTCTGATAAAATGGCAAATTATTGTGATAAATGAATGAATAAATAAATATATAGATAAATAACTATGCATCTAATTTATCAAACTGAAACCTTTTCAAACTCTGGCAAAGTCTCCTTATTGTCTTCGAAACATTCTGACAAATAGTCTACAACTTTCCATGGAAACGAGCTGGTCCTCTCCTTGATGATACAGCAATGGTATGACGTGAATATTTGATACGACAAGTAGAAGGCAAGTATGACGTCAATAGTGTAGTGACCTCGACACAACAAGATAAAAAGTATTCCACCTATATTTAATGTCCACGTGATGCCTCTGATGAAGCACCGAGATCTCGGTGCGTACTCATTGACAAAAAGATTCAAGATGGTCAGAAGTGTCGTGTGGCCGCTGAATATGTAGTCACCACAAGTCTCGGCACCAACCACTTTGAGTCCAAATCGAGTGTACAAGTCTAAAGCCCGTTTTAGTTTGTTCCAAGTATCTGCTTCAGGAAATGGGTAACACTTTTTATGAACATCCGGAACTGGTAGGGAGGTGACCAGTACGCACAAGCACCTCAGCCAGTACATTGTACCAGCCACTAAACAAAGCCGGTGAATAATTTGTAGTCGCTGCTTACTGAGACTGACCATACCAATCCAAATGACCATTTCCAAAGCAAGACAATATTCCGAAGCCTGACCCGCCCATGGGACATACGGCAAATTATCCAAAATTAGGTCTGGAAGAGGTGGATGTTTTTTCCTATCTGGTAGACGATCATTCACAAAAACAATTGCAACACACGATGTTATATGAGCTGATAATAAGTATAAAAAGCCTATAATCAATTTCCTTAAAACGTCTTTATTTTGCGATACATATTTTGTCGCAAACCATGTGAATTGTTCTTCCATATACTTGGATCCCATCTTTTTGTATCCTATATCTTTATCGTTCCTGGTGAATGGAACTGACAAGTTGGAACTGGCAGGCATCTGCGTGTCCGTCACCTGCCTTCACATTAACTGACCGTCCATTTAGCGCGATCTACTCCTAACTGTTGGTACTCCTACTCACTGCTTATTGATTACCTACATACGGCAGAGCTTTAAATATGAAGAGCGAGAGGGGAAAACCTAGGACGGAATAGGTCATTGTTTGTTAATAGTCATGGTAATAATGGCAACGTTTGTAAGACAAGACTATCTTTAAATATAACTAATTGCGTTCATAGAAAACAATTCACGATAAAGGATCGCATATCCACATGTATAACGTACCGGTTATCATCGCTACATATCTTATGTAAATAGGATCACAAATCTTAAACTATCGATTAATGGGATCACATCAGTATAAATTATTGTTTAGCGGGAACACACATCAGTATAAATTATTGTTTAGCGGGAACACACATCAGTATAAATTATTGTTTAGCGGGAACACACATCAGTATAAATTATTGTTTAGAGGAACACACATCAGTATAAATTATTGTTTAGCGGGAACACACATCAGTATAAATTATTGTTTAGCGGGGTCACACATCAGTATAAATTATTGTTTAGAGGAACACACATCATTATTAATTATTGTTTAGAGGAACACACATCATTATTAATTATTGTTTTGCGGGGTATAAATTTTTGTTTAGAGGAACACACATCAGTATAAATTATTGTTTAGAGGAACACACATCAGTATAAATTATTGTTTAGCGGGAACACACATCAGTATAAATTATTGTTTAGAGGAACACACATCAGTATAAATTATTGTTTAGAGGAACACACATCAGTATAAATTATTGTTTAGCGGGGTCACACATCAGTATAAATTTTTGTTTAGAGGAACACACATTAGTATTAATTATTGTTTAGCGGGAACACACACCAGTATAAATTATTGTTTAGCGGGTTCACACATCAGTTTAAATTACTGTTTAGAGGAACACACATCATTATTAATTATTGTTTAGCGGGGTCACACATCAGTATAAATTATTGTTTAGAGGAACACACATCAGTATAAATTATTGTTTAGAGGAACACACATCAGTATAAATTATTGTTTAGAGGAACACACATCAGTATAAATTATATCAATATGAAGCATTGCTTCTTATCTCATGTGATAATTTTCAACTTTCCGGTTTTGGCTGAAATTGTGCAATATATTTCCATCAATAAAAAGGTTGTATATACCGAAAATTGTCACGTGGAGCATTATGCATAAATAATCTGTGAGTATTCCGAAAATGTTTCAGGTAAAAAGGACGGAAATGCAAACATTTAACATGCTGCTTTGAATTCACTTTTGGAATTTAATTGGATCAAATCCATTCGCTGTGCCATTTTTAAAAGAGTTCACACATTTAAAAGTTGAGAGTAAAAATGACGCGCCTGTATTTCTTCTTCCTGATAAAAAGACCACACTTCATTATTTACTTAATAAATAAGTGACTGCCTGTATATAAGACGTCCAATAAATTGACCTTTCTCTGGAAATACTCTGACATTTCCTTCGTACAAAAGGAACTGGGACTGCTCAAAAACTCCAATCATTACAAATATAAAAGGCTAGCCTCTAATATAATTAATTTCGTGCTTAATATCTAATGTTAGACTCACACAATAAGATTTCGAGAGAGGCAGGTTGATAAAAAAAAAGGTCGGTTTTATGGTCATCAAAATTCTTTCATTGTGAAGTATTCATGCCTGGTGGTTTCATTGTTGTGATACGTGCTCTCGTTTGGGGTTTTCACATAATTTTCTTGGATCGAATAAAACTTACATGGCAGGTGTTATTAATATAGCAGAAGATGTTCATTCTTTCAAAATACATTTTCTAGTTCTCCTTGTACTAATAAAAATAATTATCGTTTTGTCATGAAACTATTACAGCCTTTTGACTTCAGCCAACGTATAATTTGATCGACTTGAAGAAAGATTTACAAAAGGCACATAAACTAATAGCAACTTTCAATACAAATATAGAATTAGAAACGGAAGAACCAAGTATCTTTTATCTCCAGTTGATAAAAGCATGTATGGACTTCATCAAACGTCTATAATTGTATTGGTAGATGGACCATTATCGGGAAGCTGAATCAAACTGTAAGTGACCGTGCACGGCTAAAAAATACTTAATAGATTATGTGACAGCAAAAATCTATATAACAAAATAATGTATTTGTCTCGAGAAAATCTGACAAAGTCCTCGTATAGTTTCCGTTTAGTGTTATTTCTATAAGGCAAAATGACAAAATAAATCTATAGAAATTACATCTAATGCAATCACTGATGTCCAAAAACCTTATTGGCAATTAAATGGACATATTCTATTACGTGTGTATAATTGAAATAAATATATACAAAAAAGAATAATATATATATATATATAATATGAAATAATGATATTTATACACCCATTTTAAATCAATTTATATTTATAGCCAAAATATTTTATTTGCAACATATATCAGAATCGATTTTCATTACATGGATTAATAGTCTTTCTGGTGTTACGTGATTTTGAGAAGCGTAAATACAGATACAATGGAAGGGCGTGAACAAGCAGATTAAACAAACTAGAAAAATGTACATGTGTTAAATTCGTGAAAATTATTATCATGTAACCATGTGTTTTATAAAGAGAATATACATTTGTAATTCACGCTGATATTTTACAATAATAAATACTAATATATCTTACGGCATGTTAAGTGTGAAATAGTGACACAAAAATTAAAAGGTACCTGTAATTTAATTAGTGTTTCAATTATTTTTCAATTATGGGCTCAATTTTTATCAAGTACAGGGTGATAAAAAAATTAAAGCTGTTAAGACACCTGACTCGGTGACTGGTGTTTATGTCAGATATGGTCATCTGATGACAATTACAAAGTAAGACTCAACTTCATTTCATGCTTATTTTACCTGACAATTAATTTGTTAATTAATTGCCATATACCTGTATGGTGACATTTTCCTGTCTGCAACCAGTCAGTTCCATTATAAGCATTTGAACTAAACACATGTCTACTCTTAACTTCTAGTTTAATACAAAATAGTACTAGACAATTGAAGTTTATTGTTTGCACCTGTATATGAGAGACTTGGGTGGTAACATGGACCTTAACGTTCCATTCATTATACAAATGTATAGTCACAGAGTTCATTCATGCAGAAATAATCAGATAACAAAAGTTATATAAACGAGAATTTTGATAAAAATGAAAACCTGAACAAACAGCATTTATGTATTCAAATAATGTTACGTAAAATCCACAGCAAGTAATGAAATGTTGACCCTTTTGCACTGGATAGGTCTTGTATCCGAAATCTCAAGTTACACGGAATAGTGAGCATTTGACTTTTTTTGTATAATTCTTGATGAATAGGCCGATTGTTGTGTGTTGAGAGTGTGTCTGAAAATGTGAGGAAGACTGAGGTGATGTGTGTGTGGTGTGTTTACTTGAGTGAGGTGAAAAATGGTGTAAATATGTGAGGTTGTGTATGTGAGTGAGATGAGAAATGGTGTAAAGATGTGAGGGTGTGTATGTGAGTGAGGTGAAAAATGGTGTACAGATGTGAGGGTGTGTATGTGAGTGAGATGAGAAATGGTGTACAGATGTGAGGGTGTGTATGTGAGTGAGATGAGAAATGGTGTACAGATGTGAGAGTGTGTATGTGAGAGTGTGTATGTGAGTAAGGTGAAAAATGGTGTAAAGATGTGAGGGTGTGTATGTGAGTGAGGTGAAAAATGGTGTAAAGATGTGAGGGTGTGTATGTGAGTGAGATGAGAAATGGTGTACAGATGTGAGGGTGTGTATGTGAGTGAGATGAGAAATGGTGTACAGATGTGAGGGTGTGTATGTGAGTGAGATGAGAAATGGTGTACAGATGTGAGAGTGTGTATGTGAGAGTGTGTATGTGAGTGAGGTGAAAAATGGTGTAAAGATGTGAGGGTGTGTATGTCAGTGAGGTGAAAAATGGTGTAAAGATGTGAGATTGTGTAAGTGAGTAAGATGAGAAATGGTGTACAGATGTGAGGGTGTGTATGTGAGGATGTGTATGTGAGTGTGTGTATGTGAATGATATGAGAAATGGTGTACAGATGTGAGAGTGTGTATGTGAGGTGAGTGAGATGAGAAATGGTGTACAGATGTGAGGGTGTATATGTGAGTGTGTGTATGTGAGGGTGTGAGAGTGTGTGTATGTGAGTGAGATGAGAAATGGTGTACAGATGTTAGTGTGTGTATGTGAGTGAGATGAGAAATGGTGTACAGATGTGAGGATGTGTATGTGAGTGTGTGTATGTGAATGATATGAGAAATGGTGTACAGATGTGAGAGTGTGTATGTGAGAGTGTGTATGTGATTGAGGTGAAAAATGGTGTAAAGATGTGAGATTGTGTAAGTGAGTGAGATGAGAAATGGTGTACAGATGTGAGGGTTTATATGTGAGTGATATGAGAAATTGTGTACAGATGTGAGGGTGTATATGTGAGTGTGTGTATGTGAGAGTGTGTGTATGTGAGTGAGATGAGAAATGGTGTACAGATGTTAGTGTGTGTATGTGAGTGAGATGAGAAATGGTGTACAGAGATGTGAGGGTGTATATGTGAGAGTGTGTATGTGAGTGAGGTGAAAAATGGTGTAAAGATGTGAGGGTGTGTATGTCAGTGAGGTGAAAAATGGTGTAAAGATGTGAGATTGTGTAAGTGTGAGATGAGAAATGTGTAAAGTTGTGTGTGTAGTGAGATGAGGATGGTGTGTATGTGAGGGTGTGTATGTGAATGAGATGAGAAATGGTGTACAGATGTGAGGGTGTGTATGTGAGGGTGTGTATGTGAGTGAGATGAGAAATGGTGTACAGATGTGAGGGTGTGTATGTGAGTGAGATGAGAAATGGTGTACAGATGTGAGGGTTTATATGTGAGTGATATGAGAAATTGTGTACAGATGTGAGGGTGTATATGTGAGTGTGTGTAT